GGGGCGGGGAGGAGGCTGACGTGTTACTGTGGCTCTTTGGCAATGCACATTGGTAAATTCTGGCTCCTTCTGAGGCACAGGTTGGCCACCCCGGTCTAGAAGCCCTATCCTGAGAGTTGCTGAGCTCTCCGAATTTGACCCCAGAATGTACTAGAGAAAGGAGAGTACCCAATTCAGCCCAACTACAAGTCCACTGAAGTCATTAGTGTTTTGCCTGCTCAAATCAAGGTTCAATTTGATCTGCAGACTTTACAGAATGTGTCACTGCACATCTTCCACCTAGTGTACACATGAAGATCCATTTCTTGGTCTCATCTAGGTCAGTGGCAAAAGCCCATTGATTTCAGTGGAAGTAGAATCAGGCCCAACGGTACCAGGTACCAGAAATGGTACCTAATTCTGATCACAGTTACAGTGGTGTAAATTAGGAGTGACTCCAATTAAGCTATGCATTAACTCAGTGTAGAAAAGTGGTGTAAACTAAACTAACATCAGTCCTGCTTTTAATTTCTTTAACCTAACAGAAAAACACTGCAAGAAAATTTGACATTTACCGGTCAACTGAAAGGCTGTTTATAGTTGATGAAAGTATTTGCATTTCTTTTGAACAGCAATGTTGCAATTGTGTTGCAATTGTGCAACAAAGCTTTATAATGTTTGGTGTTTTTCTTAAAGCCCCATCTGTTGAGTCCTCTGGTTATAACATAATCTCAGTTTTCATTTTTTTAAAAGTATATTTCTAGCCCTTGTGGTTGTAATGAAAAACAGAAAGAAGATAATGAGAACAAACATTCATTTTGTTTTAAAATTTCATGATTTTAAAGTCAATCTCAATTTTGGGGGACTGATTTTTGAGTTTTGAACATGAGATGATACTACTGCAACAGTTGATGTCATTAACACCTAACATGGAAGTTAGGTGTTGCACGTGTTAATGATTTCATTAACTGCTTAAGGAATACATGTCCATAAAGGAAATACCTAATCCATATTTTCAATAAGTTCCTACAGATGCTCTAGCCATGTATGTGGCAAAAATAGTTGCCAAATTGTTGCAGTGTTCTAAAACCATTGGGCTACCAGAAATTTAAAGAGATACTGAATGATTGAGGTATTGATGAGTGTCTTTACAATTGCTCATAGCCCTAATGTTGCCACCCTTGTTCACACTGAGTAGTACTTTACTCCACTGATTTCAGTGGGACAGCTGGTACAGTTTGATAACTCCAAAGACTGGCAGAATCAGTTCCTAAGCATCATATCATATTAGTGTAGTTTGGCAGTAGAAATCTTTTCAAACATAGCCTAGAACTCTCTTTGTGCTGCCTGGTATGCTTCAGTTATAAGGGATATTCTTGCAATATTCTTTATGTTCTCAAAATCTCATTGATCTCATTGCAATTTGGGATGCACAGAAAGGACAAGTTTGGGTCTTTTATCTGTATAAACTTGTGTTATAGATTAATCTATATTCAAGTTGGTATTTATAGCTCAAGAAAGGATACAAAGGAGGCTCTAAGCCACCTTTCTGCCTCCTCTGTTCATGAGGCTGGCTCCTGGTGAAAGTTATAGCATGTCCCATCCACACCCCCATTCCACCCAAGAATGGCTCCCTTTAGAGCTGGTCAGTAAAATCCCAAGAAGGCATTTTGTTCTCAGAATTTACTGATTTGTTGAAATTTAATGTTTCACAGGGACAGTTAGGTTTTGATGCTGCTCCCCCTGAAATTATACAGGATTTCAGCAGAACCCTGCCTAACAGATAATTTTCAAAACTTGACTCGTTTTCTGCCAGCTGAGCTCCTCAACGTCCCAGGCTTCCAGGCTCATGGTGCCTCAATCGCTGGCTCTACCCATCCCCATTGTAGATGAGAGAGAGCTATGTGGAGAATGACAATTCTGTTTCACAGGGGATTTCAGTGCTTTGAAATTTATTTTTATTTCAATTAGGAAAGCAAACAAAAAAATTAGACATTTTCTATGAAAGGGAATGCTCAGGATGCAAAATGGGGTTCTTCAAGGTGAATGGCAAAGCTAGTTAAATCCAGATTGTTTACTGAGTGCTTCCACCAGCCAATGATTTTTTTTCCACTTTGTGAAATACACCTCTACCCCAATATAACGCTGTCCTTGGGAGCCAAAAAATCTTACCGTGTTACAGGTGAAACCGCGTTATATCGAACTTGCTTTGATCTGCCAAAGCGCGCAGCCCCGCCCCGTTGGAGCGCTACTTTACCGTGTTATATCCGAATTTGTGTTATATCAGGTCACGTTATATCGGAGTAGAGGTGTAATCCAGAATCTTTCTGTCTGTAGTATGTCCGATAACATAATACTGCTAGAATGAGATTTGTGGTATCAGCATTGTCACAAACTGAGAAATTATGAGAGATCTTCAGCAAACCAGGAAGAGCGAGGCCTAAAAAGAATATTTAGTTTGAATGCAGAATGGTGTCACCAGCCTGGTTAGTGGGATTAATGAGTACAGAAATCTCAGTTGAACTCAATTTTAAATTCAGTTTTCAAGTTCACCTCCACAATATATAAACATTGCAAATACAAGGGTTGAAAAATCAGTTATTCGGTTCTTCTTTTAGTTACTCATGAAGAACTGAGTTCAGGTACTTCCTTTGTGAAAATTCCAATAAACAATATAGAATCCTTTAAATAATCATCATAGTGTGTCTCTGATATATCTATAAAACCAGCCATACTGGGTCAGAGTATCCTGTCTCTGACAGACACCCCTGTACCAGATGCTTCTGAGGGAGTGAACAGAACAGAGAAATTTATCAAGTAATCCACACCATCATCCAGTCCCCACTTCTGGCTGGGGGACAGAGGTTAGGGACACCCAGAGCATAGGGTCGCAGCCCTGACCATCTTGGCTACTAGTCATTGATGGACCTGTCCTCCATGAATTTATCAAATTTTTTTAGAACCCAGTTATACTTTTGGCCTTCAGAACACTGCTGGCAATGAGTTCCACAGATTGTGCATTGTGTGAAGAAGTACTTCCTTTTGCTTGTTTTAAACCTGAAGCCTTTTAATTTCATTGGGTGACCCCTGTTTTTTGTGTTATGTTAAAGGGTAAATAACACTTTTTCTTCACACCATTCATGATTTTATAGACCTCGATGATATCTACACTCAGTTGTCTCTTCCCCAGGCTAAGCAGTCCCAGTCTTTTTAATTCTCTCCTCATCTGAAAGCTGTTACATACCCCTAATCATTTTTGTTCCTCTTCTCTGTACTTTTTTCCCAATTCTAAGTATTCATTTTGAGATAGGCTGACCAGAACTGCACACGGTATTCGAGGTGTAGGCGTATAATGGATTTATATAGTGGCAAAAAGGAATTGCCAGGTGAGAAATTCTCACGTCTTAAGTTATCTTACAACAAATTTGAATATCACCTGATTTGTCATGTCATAGATAGTCAAAAAGGATCTGTGTTACCTCTATCCTAATCTACATAATCAGGATGGGAAATACTATATTATTACAATGGTAACTCTCATTGAGGGACTGTTCTCAGTCATGGAGATAACACAACGACAGGTGCAGTATTTCTAAATCCTGTTTTGAAAATTGCTTTTATACTTTTCTCTCTCTAAGTGTAATGCATATGTGTAATATAGTTGTTTTTGTAACAAAAAATTAGTTTCATTGTTAAGTATCTGCTGATTTTTAACCTGCTGTTAGGCTACATTTCATACAGGGCAAGTGCTGCACATTCAAACTTAAATGTTGTCTTACACTTCTATAGACCAGAGGTGCTTCTCACAGAGCGGGATGGCCACACAGGGAAGCTGCATCCCTTAAAGGCATGTAGTGGTTCACGCATTATGCAGGGTGAAGGGCTCTGAGAGACAAGCCTGCGGTGATCCCCTGGTCAGGGTGCCGCTGCGTCCATCACACAGCTGTGCCTAAATGTTGTTAGCTAGCCCAAAGTTACCACACAGCTGACAACCTCTGTTCAGGAGAACAGCGACAATAATGTGGCTGCTCCGGACAAGGCTGTATGAAGAAAAATGAGCATGGGAGCTTTCACAACACCTGCCTGTCACCATGTCTGGCTCAAGGCAGTGTTGTCCATTTCTCTCATAACTCAGAGTATTATATCCACTCACAAACATGTCATGAAAAATAAATGTTATTTTTAAGTACAGCAAAGAGAGTGTGGAAGTACAAGGTCAATTTTCAGTCCTCTCCAAAGAATAGTATTTGATCAAACCCAACCCTAAAATAGATATTTAGATGCTGAATGTGTTCAGGCATAATTTGCTTTGGAAAGTTTACTTGATATGGCACTGGATAAAAGTTTATATATAAAGTTAATTTTGAACATTAATTAAACTGATGAATGGCATGGTTTAGCTCATCTAGAATAAGTCTTTCTATGCTTAGTTTTGAAGGATAAAGTTACATAAAATAAATAATAGTAAAAACAAACCATTCCCTCACCTGAAGGGAGAAATTACTTATCAAACCCTGTAACCTGCAACCCTTACACATGTGAGTAGTTCCATTGACTTGAGCAGAACTAATTCTTGCAGGTTTGGGCCCAAATGAGAAATATTCCAGAATAACTGAAAATATTCCATATCAGTTGAATGTTCAGAAACTTCCTTCTAATAATAATGTGAAGTTATATTTCAGCCCTAAGAAATGCAAAAGCCATGTTTTTTTTATTTCACTGCCCGTTTTGTAAGGCATGATATCAAAAACTGACTGCCTACAGCTATCTGCCAAGGGCGAATAGTCACACTGAAAAGTATCATCTTCTTGGTATTATGAAACAGAAGTACTAAATAAAAATTATAATAACTCATATCTATAGTAATGAATATACATCTATCTCCTGAACACTACAGAAGAATGATGATTCTGTGCTCATTGTCAGTTAGAGCATCCCTCATGCCCAACGTATGCTGGCTACCAGCTGGGGATCACCAGAACTGAAGAGTACTCCAGCCATATCTCTTCAGTGCACCCCAGATAAATCCTCTTTGTTGTACAGAAACCCACAGGTGCAGAGGCCAGTTAAATCAGCTCTATGCTAGCCAAGGATTCTCCTACACCATGGTGGTCTGTATCTGCCTACAATGGATAGCTTTCTGCTGGCATAAAGGAGCTGCACCATGAGCCAGGTTTTGGTCCTAAGGTTAGAGGCCACATATAACCACATGGACTGTAATGTAACCACAGCTTCTGAGGTTCTGGTTAACCAATCAAATTCCATCTTGCTTTAATACTTTAATGTTAAGTATAACAGAAACATTAAAATAGCCTCTTAATATTTGTTGTTTCAAATGGATTTTGACATACTTAAGGTTAGTTGTTAATCATGGGAAAAAAGGGAAAAGTCATGATCCTATCATGGAAAAGATGCAAACGTTGTCATTTTAGTTAAATATGTTGTGGCACGTGATAATTTAAGTTGTTTGCAATGAGACATTATGAGAACTCTAATATTCTAAAATCAGAATATCTTAAAGCCATGTAATAATACTAAATTGTTAGTTTAAAACCCAAGCTCCATTGCAATGGACATATACGATAAAACTTCAAGAAACAGTCTTGTTCAGTAGTGGGCTGGCATGGGAACCACGTCAGTGGGTGAAATCCTGGCCCTGCTGAAGTCAAGAGAATTTTGCCATTGACTTAAGTGGGGCCAAGACTTGAACCTGTGATTTTCTGTGAATCATACACATGCACACACCCACACAGAATTGCCATCGAAATCACGGCTCTCTAGACATACTGTTCTATAAACAGATTTCAAAATTAATATATTAATATTCTGTATTGTGAATCTATCCTGTGTAATTTCTTTCAACATTGATTGCATGAACAGTAATACATGCAGTCTCTTGAATTAGAAAATACTTTGTAGTTTGTTGTTCAGTGTAACATAGTTGACTGCTGACTCCCAACTCTTGACTCTAATGTTGCCGGTCATATTTTGGGCTAGAACATAAAGCCAGTAGTATCACAGGTATCAATAGCCCTCTTTACTTTTAAATTAACTCACTTTATAATTAGATAGCATGGTTAGCAGATCAGGTGGATAAAAGATAGGATTGTTTTAACTTTCCTTCTGGCAATTATGCAGATGTAGTTACCTAGTTTTGCAAGTGATGCAACCAATACATTTAAACTGTTAGCAAAATGGTTATCAAAACCAGTTTAGCTGGCTTCCAGTCTGGATAGGAATAGAATATTTACATGGCACTCATTTTATGGTGAAAAAAAATCTGTACCCGATGAGAAAGAAAACATAAATGAACTTGGGCTACAAATCAGATGAAATTGGAGAAATTGGAGAAGCTGGATATGAGTCAACAGTGTGCCCTTGTTGCCAAGAAGGCTAATGGCATTTGGGCTGTATAAGTAGGGGCATTGCCAGCAGATCGAGGGACGTGATCGTTCCCCTCTATTCGACATTGGTGAGGCCTCACCTGGAGTACTGTGTCCAGTTTTGGGCCCCACACTACAAGAAGGATGTGGAAAAATTGGAAAGAGGCCAGCGGAGGGCAACAAAAATGATTAGGGGGCTGGAACACATGAGTTATGAGGGGAGGCTGAAGGAACAGGGATTGTTTAGTCTGCAGAAGAGAAGAATGAGGGGGGATTTGATAGCTGCTTTCAACTACCTGAAAGGGGGTTCCAAAGAGGCTGGATCTAGACTGTTCTCAGTGGTACCAGATGACAGAACAAGGAGTAATGGTCTCAAATTGCAGTGAGGGAGGTTTAGGTTGGATATTAGGAAAAAAAATTTCACTAGGATGGTGGTGAAGCACTGGAATGGGTTACCTAGGGAAGTGGTGGAATCTCCTTCCTTAGAGGTTTTTAAGGTCAGGCTTGACAAAGCCCTGGCTGGGATGATTTAGTTGGGATTAGGTCCTGCTTTGAGCAGGGGGTTGGACTAGATGACCTCCTGATGTCCCTTCCAACCCTGATATTCTATGATTCTATGAAATAAGATTAGTATAGTACTGAGCTAATATAGTAGAGTGATATTGAAGATATTGGATCTTGATTGGACCTTAAAAATAGGCAGTGACACAATTAAGAAAAACAAAGACTAGTTAGGAAGAAAAAATGAATAGTGAGAAGTTGCTGTAAGGCACTGACAGAAAGAGATGTATAGATGTATTGCTCCATTTCAGTTCCGGGTTCTTTGGACATGTATGATAACTGATCTTTCATGGTCCAGTACTTTTTGTTTTTTGATTCTTAATCTTATCTAAGAGTAAACTAAAATGACTGTGGGCTAATAGTTGTTTCCATTAATACCAGCTGTGTCTCAAAGAACTATGTCACAAGTCAAGGCCTTACCTGGTGTATACAGAGGGCCATTTGTCTTTATGCAAACCCTCTGACCTGACTGCAAGAAGCAACAAACAGGTGACCTGAAGACTGGATAGTTTTCAAGACTCTATTTCTGCCATAGATTAAATAAAAAAAAAAAGATGAATGCTTGGTGCCCACTTCTGCACCTTTTTCATCTGTGAAACTCCCACACACAATAATTGCAGGACTATGCCATTAGGACTTACCTCACAGAGACAAGGGGTAAGGCCTGAACTTCCTTCAGCTAGGCTATGATATGATAATTACTGAACATTCCTAAAAAAATATGCAAGAGAGATAACTGAAAACAAATGAAGAAGTGAAAACATCAGCTTGGTAGCATTCTTAGAAAGGGAGGAAAATAAGCTAACTCAGACTAGCTTCCAAGTTTATATTTAAACACTGCTGTTCATAAAATGGATGACTGGAAATGTTGTTGTTCAGGTTATTTTGTAGGGAGACATGCTTACCACGCATCATGCTACTCCTTCCATATGTCACTAACCTTTGACTTAATGGTTCTTTTCATTCTAGAGAGAGACCTTTTTGGAGCAGAACCATTTGACCCTTTTAGCTGTGGAGCAGGAGATTTCCCTCCAGACATTCAGTCCAAACTAGATGAGATGCAGGTAATTATTTATTTATCATTTCAACAAATGGTTTCCATTAGCACGTGAACACGTACCTAATAAGGGTAGAGTATACATCATAGAGCTGTCTTTGTGTTATAGCATGTTAAGAATTTGTTCCTTAGTATGCAAAGGAGAATGAACTTTGATCTTTGTGGATGGATCCCACTGACCTTCAATCAGAGTTGAACATTTGACTCCCTGAGGCAATCTTGAATATTCTCAGTGTCTTTAGAAAGAATGCATTTGGCACTTAAGTGTGCTAATTATTGCTGGCTGGAAATTTTCTGACATCATTTGACATTTCCTGTCAGAAAATGATGTTTACTTGAAATAAAAATGCTCTGCAGGACCATCCTGATTTTGACAAAATTCCAAGCAAAACCAGACAAGTTTCCAATAGAAGCCTGCCTAATTTTCTGCCAGCTTACCTGCCTGGCTCCTTGGCAGCCCAGGTTGCTTGGCAGCTGGGGGCGCCTAAGTAATGGGCAGCTCGGGGAGACTTGGAAATGTTTAGAAAAGGTCATAATGAAACTCTGGAATTCTGATTCATGGGAAATGTTGAAATTTCATTTATCATTCCAATTTGGAACAACTTTTTCATTTTGAAATTTACTGTAGACTGGGAATTCAAGTCTCTGACCAGCACTAGTACTAATATTTGCATAGAGTAAGGTCAAAACTAAAGTTAATAGGACATGAGAAATATCACTCAGAGGTTTGGCATCAGGAAAACCTAGGTAGAACAATTCTACTGTGGAATTTCCACAGCATTGTTTAAATAATTTCTTCAACAAAGGGGTTTGAATTTGATTGCATAATGCATGTGATATCATCCTATAAAGAATGTTAGCATAAATCAATGGTTTGGATTAAAAAAAACCCCTAAAACATGTTTATATTTCTTTATACTATTTCTAATATCTCTTTTGTCTTCTTGTGCTTTCCTGGGTGTTTAGCGTCAGCGATGGTTGGTATATTGTATTTTAATATCAATATTAAATCAATTTGTTGTAATTAAAATCCTAAAAAATGGGCATGCTGTATAATTGACATCTTTGGTGAGGCTTATATTTTATGTCTCTAATTCAGGACCATTTTTATGCAAATGTTTTTGGGGGGCTTTGTTATTTTAAAGAGGGGGTTGGTGGGTTGGTTTGGGGTAGGGGAGTTGTCTTTCAAGTAATAATTTATAGACTTTTTTTCCCAATTGTTCATTTCCTTATTTAAATATGGTTGCTTTTTCCTTACCACTTACGCTGATATTGTATAAGTTAACTTTTTCATTTTCATCATCAGACCATTGCTAGTGAAAGTGTCTCTTCAGGCAAATATTATTTATCAATCTATTCTACCCAAATGTATCTGGAACCCAGAGTGGGAGGGGGGAGGTTGCGGGGGAGGATGTTTCTGTCTTGGTTGTTGGTGTTAATTTCTCTTGTATGATCTTTTGACACAATATGAGGCATCTTCCATGCTGGCATATGAAAATATAGGGGTGTTGAAAAACCTGTGGCATTTTTTTGCTTCCATTTCACACTTGAACTTCAGAGGCAAAATTGTTGACATTAAACTTTTGTATTATACGATCTATATAATAAATTAGTTCTTGATTAAGATCAGTCAGTTGCTTGCCTATTTTGAAATGAAAAGAAATATGAAACAGTGCATGATAGGCAAGTTTGGCATCTTAGAAAAGTCATGAGTGGTTTCTTGGGCCCACAAGCCTATCTAAGGAGTCAGTGAGGATGTTAAAACAATTCGGAAGAAAAACATAAGCAGTTCCAAGAAACCTAGTGAGGCCAAAAACCACAATCTGAGGAATCTGACAGTAATGGGGAATATGAGACAAAACTGAAGGCCTCGTTTATATTCTATAGTAGACATGTATGTAGAGCCAGCATGTTTGTACTCATTCACTTTGTAAAAATACAGATTTTCTGAGTTTCAGTAAGTGTATATTTGATCAAATAATATAGAATGCTGTTATTTATTGGTTGTCTGTCCAGGGAGACAATTTACATAGAGTTCAGCAGTGAGGGCAAGATAACAACTTAGAACAGCTGATCATTCAAGAGAACATAAAGCTACTGATATAAGTGGGGAATTTCTAAGTAATTTCCAGTGTACAGAGTTAGTATATCTTTATAGCAGGTAATGTTTGAGACAGACAAAGAGTGAAGGTATAACAAGAATGTCAATAAAAAAAACAGGTGATAAGAAAGCACTAAGTAGCTGCTGCTTGTTATTACTGTCAGCACTGCCAAAAAAGATGGGCTCAAATTAAATTCTCTGAACTTTTGGGTATCTTTCCAAATCCAACTTTAGTTTTGGTCCATATTTCACAATTATGATCTTTCTACTGTCACTGTGAATCCGACCTTTCAGGAATGGTCAAAATCTAGACATGGACCCAGATCTGAATTTTGCAGCTCAGACACATCTCTGGTAAACATGCTGTGACAATATCCTCCCGGGGTGCAGCCTGGGACTGTGGGACCACTGTGCCCCCTGAACTCTCTCCAGCCTGGGCTGTCTCTCACAATGCCTTGCTAGTGACCAACAGCAAACCCCTCCAGGCATTGTGATCACTCAGCACAACAGCATATGAAGCCCCACACGCAGCGATATTGCATGAATGCTTCCGGAGCCACTCATGAATCACCCAGAGAAAGGCACCAGCCAAATACCCCCAGCTCCCAGCACCGTACCTGAGAAATATACCATCTTGCACTGCTCAAGATGGGCAGTGCAGATTTATTAATTAGTTCGCTACTTCAACAATGGAAAGTGGTTATACACCAGCCTTTGTCAAACCTGAGCAGATTTGCCGGACACTTCATACAAATTCACTAGTAAAGATAAACAGTTAAACAAATGTATTGACTATAAATGATAGATTTTAAGTGATAGGCAAAAAGTCAGAGTTAGTTACCAAAAGAAATAAAATATAAGCACGCAGTCTAAACTCTCAACCCTATTAGACTGGGCAGCAGCAACTAGATTAAGCAGTTTTTCTCACCCCACTGGATATTGCTGTCCTCAATATACAGGTTTGTTCCTTAAACCTGGGCCAATCTCCTCTGTTGGAGTCTTGTCTTCTTCTTAGTGTCTTAGGTGCTTGCAGCGTAGGTTGGGGCAGGAGAAGGGCCCAGCACATGGCCACTCTCTTTGTTTTATACCCTCAGTCCATGTGCTTGGAAAACACAAGTCCAGGCATGTCTGGGAGCATTGCTGAGTCTCCAGGCAAAGTTGAGCAATTCCCCTGGTGTGGTCCCATGCAGGTGAGTCATTGCATTGTAGCTCCCCTGCTGGACAATGGTTGTTGATGGCTGAATGATTCCCCACCCGGGTGTTGGTTACTTTCCTTGCTGTTGCCTCTGGGGAGCTAATATCTGGCTGATTCCCCAATTTACAGCATGTTTTACTGACCACCGTACAACACAATTCTCATAACTTCATATGCATTAATGATACACATATATGGATAGAGAAATGACTTTCAGCAGATCAAACCTTTGCCCTGATACCTTACAAGACATGCTTTTATATGTAAGATCATGATTATATGAAAATGAGGAATATGGGGGTTCCAGGACGCTCCCCCAAGGTATAGAATGTCACACATTCCTTCTGTTTTGCTGAAACATTTTCATCCCTCTGTGTTTTTACCATACTTCACACATAAATCAAATTAGTCTTTCCATATTCTCTAATCTCCTGAATTTGAAGTTTCTTAGAGGATGTTACATGGATGGAAACTTTCCCATTTCACAAATTATAGCAGCAGCATCTGTTATATGTTCTAAAGTCCCACTTTAGCTAATCTTGTACAGCTTGCAGAAGATGTGGCCATTCTTCTTTCTCTTCCTAATGCAATAAGAGGCTTGCCTTTATTTTCCCAGAAATCAATCACATTTAGATAGAGATCATTATCTTCTCAAATACATGAAAATTTGCCATTGGATCTTTGGGTCTGTGCTGCTTTAAGCTCAGTGGGTGCAGTCAGACTAACAATGAAAAGCAAGTCAACCAGGTTAAAAAACAGAAAGTTCTACCATTTACCTGAGCTCAGGACTGTGCTACATCTCAGCAGTGCTGGCCATTGAATGACTGAAAAACTATTGGAATCACTAGTGTGTGTCCTCGCTAGAGCTGGTCAAGTATCTAGATTCCTCAGATTTCCAAAGGGATACAGGCCTGCGTATGTCACCAATACTGCCCTAGTTGGTTTGGTAACCTATTCTCTGCTCTCAACATTGTAGATCAGGTGTCTGTACTCATATTGGTAAATCTGGCCACTGTATGCAATACCAGTTGTCGTGAGATGATGTTGATGTGCTCTGAAAGGGCCTTTCAGTGGCTTAAGCTATGTTTACACTTAAAATGCTACAGCAGCACAGCTGCAGCACTGTAGCTGCACGATTGTAGCATTTCAGTGTAGACACTTACTACAGCGACAGGAGAACCCCTACCATCACTGTAGTAAATCCACCTCCTGAGAGAATTCTTTCATTAATCTAGCATTAGCTTCTTTGGGACTTAGGTCAGCTGAACTGCATCTCTCAGGGGTGTCAATTTTTCATACCCTTGAGCGACACAGCTGGATCTAACTTTCTAGTGTAGACCAGCCCTGGGTTTTTACCTCTTAGAGCAGGGGTCGGCAACGTTCGGCACGCGGCTCGCCAGGGTAAGCACCCTAGCAGGCCGGGCCAGTTTATTTACCTGCTGATGCTGCAGGTTCGGCCAATCGCGGCCCCCACTTGCCGCGGTTCGCCGTCCCGGGCCAATGGGAGCGGTGGGAAGCCGCGGCCAGCACATCCCTCGGCCCGCGCCGCTTCCCACCACCCCCATTGGCCCGGGACAGCGAACCGCGGCGAGTGGGGGCCGCGATCGGCCAAACCTGCCACGTCAG